ACATTTCATGTGTCATTCATGCACTATTAGAGTGACCCTGAGCTGAAGTAGCGGCACAGGCCTTTCATCTGCAGTCCTTTCCTATCAGACAGCTACTGTACAGTTTCGGTAAAAACACACAAGGTGACTTATTATTCATCTTCTTTGATTTCAGTGAAATGATTTCACTGAGATTCAACTTTAACCAAAACCAACAAAATTTGAGGGGCATAGATTTATAAATAAAAATGTAACTTTGCGTGGAATGGTAAATTGTTGCTCTGGAGTCTTTCTAATATTTCCGGCTATCATACAAATCAATGACATTCTACTCGATTGTAGCAAATGACTTGGAAATGCTGAGTCGATCTTTCTGATTCCGCTCTTTGCCTATTAAGGTTGACCATTGAAGTGGCTTCAAATAAAATCCACTGGTTATAGATAAAAATAATGGGACTTTATATTACAGAGTTATTTTAGTGCTATCTAAGCTAGATGAAAAACTGAACTGCGTTGAGTAAAGTGTGGATTAACCTTCCGTTATATTACATATGTAATAGCCCCATAATACATCAGGAACATATTGTCACTTCAGCATCAGCTTATTAGCAATATTAGCACAGAGGACTTAGTAAATAGCAAAGGTTGTTGGTGATCATTAACAAATTGAGATGATTCCTGTAGTGCACACAGGCTGTTGGATGGAGTTTCAATGCCATGGATGCCCTTCACAGACCATAGTGTCCATAGTGTTTAATATTAATTTGGCAACTGATTAGCCAGCCACTTAGAGGTATTTAGACAATTAAATTGGTAATATCATGACAAACTGAATGTATCCTGTGACACTGACAATGTAACACTTTCAGTCCTAATTAATGTGCACTATTCAGGATATAAGAGCATCAGATTTGTAACAGATACTTTAACTGATGAAGTATCTGTTTGAGTTGGTTTTTAGAGAGTCCTATTTCAGCCTAAATAGAATTCCAGCACCAGAGGCCTGTTTCACAAAGCAGGTTTAAGAAACTCAAACTCAAATCTTCCGCTCTGAATTGATCCAGCCTAAGTTTGGAAACTGAGTTTTCGGTTTGATAAAAGCAGCTGTGAGTTAGTTTAATCAATTCCGAGTAGGTCCACTCAGAGTTGAGCATGTGCATAACCAGTATGAAAAGCCATTATCGGCAAAGCACTTGTTCGGTGAGTCACCATCACAATAGGCACCAGGAAGTGCCTATTTCATACCACAGGAAATACAGATTTGAATGCAGAAATGATAGAAAAGTGGAGAATGTGTTTAAAAGACAGAGCAAAAGCACTACAGCTGCAGGGGAGACCAAGGTGATATAGGAGAAGACTGCTGTTAATGCAGTTTTATATGGAGTTTAAATGGCAGGCCATTTTGACATTTATAAAAAGCTCTCTCCTCTCTGTTGTTCCGTTTGTAGATCACTTAAATATGATTATATCTAGTCAAAATCATATTCCTAGATGGAACTGTAATAACAGATTTTCTAAATGACATTTTTGCTGCTATAACTGAATTTCGGAAACAACAAAAATTAAATTCTAATAGTAAGAATAAAATTTATATAGTTTCTATCCAGAAGTGTTTACACATTTTAAGTGGTCGTTTCAAGTTTATCAGCTTGACAGAATATGTATTTATGATATCTAAAAATGTCTTGGTTTCTGACCTGAAAACAAAACAAATTATGACCAATAACAGCAGGAATATGGAGATCTGAAATCAGTTTTTAAACATCCAGAGTGTTTTTGAATCGGATATCAAAAATACCTATTAAGACAAACTAATAAATATCTAAACGGCCTGCCATAGCCTGTTTTTATTACAATAACATTAGGGGGAAAACTAACTTCCTGGCTGAATGGTAGTTTATCAATGTATTATATTTTGCTGTAGTCGCACTGGAGAGAAGCACACCTGTCAGCAGGTTAAGATGGAGTATAAAAACCCTGCTCAAACAGATAGGACCTGTGCATCATCTCATAGGGTTCCTTCTCAGTTTGGATCCTGTCTCACATTACACAATAAAAGCTAAATAGCTTTCTGACCTTGCAGTTTTTTATAATGCTGTTGTCACATATCTGTATGCTCTTACTGATATCAAGATCAGCTAAAACCCTGTTAAAGAAGTCTGCATGATGCTGCAAATGCATGGACAAATTAAGTTGCGGATGTATTTAATGGACTAAGAAGCAAAACAGTAGCGCTTATAATGATAACTTTCTAAACATAAAGGACATCTTAGTCTGAGAACCTTCTCCCTTTAAATATTTAGTTCTCTATGAATTAATGCTACTCATTCATTAATTAAATCCCTTTCAAAAGGACATGCTATGTTTGCGTTTTTTTATAGCTAATGTCTCTAACAGAGCTAGTGACTAATTTCCTTTTTATTTTTCACACAAAACTACAACAGAGCTCTCCTGACTAAATCAGGAACTAAAAAAACGTGATTGGCTTTATGCAGACGGAGTACACTTTGGGCCGGATCTATCAAAGGTTTGCGTGTATAAAAACGTGAGCTATTTCACTGCGCACGCTAAAAAATGTACAAACTGATCTATCAATAGCGTGCTAAAAGGATTTGGTCTTTAAAACCTGCTAAATAGTGCCTCTTATCCATTTAGTACTTTTTCTGCAATGAATATGCAATATGGGGCGTTTACACGCAAAAGTGCGTCTTGTGGGAGGAGAACATGTAAATATATTAATTTAGCACTCGCAAAGTGATTTATTAAACCTGAAAGCAATTTTGCTAATGGCATCTGACTCTATATTTAACACGTTTCAAAAGAAGGTGCAAATGGTCTGTATGCGTAATTGCGCACACATGGCAGCGGTTATTGTCGCAAGAAGGAGACATCGAAATGAAGCAAGGAGACGCAGAGAATGCATTTTTTCACTCCGTGTGAATATTTTTGGAATGAACGAGGAAATGATCATCAAAACATATCGTTTATCCAGCATTGGCATTTTGGAGCTGTTGGAGGAACTCCGAATGGATTTGGAGCCAGGCACAAGGAGGACTCACGCAATACCCCGGATATCACAAAACTCCTTGCAACATTGCACTTTTTTGCATCTGGGATCTCCCAATCTCGTGTTTCAGAAGTGCTGTACAACGTTCTAAATGCCATGTCGCCCTGACTACCGGAGAACCCCGACCTCTGCGCCTGTGGTTCAACATGCCAATGCTGCGGGGATGAATACGCGCAATAATCTCATCCACAGTCACTTCTTGTGAGCCATTTGGTATGTGTATTTTTCTACAGGCCAATACAAAACACCTGTTTTTTTGTTTTTTTTTTTGTTTTTTTTTACTGCAGTGAAGTAGAAATTCAGCCACATACCACTTTAGGGAATAAAGGTTGCCAAAGTTTATATATATATACATATATATATAATTTTTTGGATGGGGTGGGGGTGTCACTGTAAGATTAAAATTTCTTAATGCACTAGTTTGCACAAACTACAAACTACTTTGCCGCAAACCACAAAACGCGCAAAACCATAATTTAAATAGGGCGTCTCCAACAGTTTTGCACCTGCCACCAGTTACGCAATCGCTCTTGTTAAATCACCCGCAAACCATGGTTCAGCCCCTCGCGCAAAATTCCAGTTTGCGAGCGCAAATTACTGCACGCAAAATTGGATCTTGATAAATCCGGCCCTTTGAGTTTACTGAAGAAATCCTGCTCCCAATGAGGGTAGATCTAGGGAGAATGCTACTATGGTAACAGAAGCAGAGGTTGAGTAAACACTCTTTGTAAAACGGAAAACTCATATGCTGAGTTTGAATTCAGGGGCTGTGTCTTCCGAAGGCCCGATTCATCATAGCACGGCGCTATGGCCTGTTTGGATTGGAAGATTCCTCATTAAGTCGCCGACAGATGCAGCCTTTTTTTTTTTGCTCGGTTTGAAGGACAGGTCTGGTGTATCCTAGCCTTGGGTGTCCTGTGATTCATTGCTAGTCCAGGAAAAATGGGGAAATGGGATCGAACAGAGGGGAATATTGTAAGTGGGTTTTGTTGACATTTAAGCACAAATTCCAATATCTGTGCAGTTTTGGGGACTATAAATCTGAAATTTGCGACAACAGTACTGCTGTCGAATCTCTGTGAAAATGTAATTAGCATACAGAAGAATGTAAGAACTTTTGTTTCCTTTTTTTGCATGCTTTGTGTGTCAGCTGTCATGGTTGATAGGCGACAGAGCTTACAGACGGTGAAAGCCAGAGAAGGATGAACCTGTTTGATTTCAAAGCCAAACTCTTCTGGCTTCCTTATTTTCCTGGACCTTGCCGGATCCAGTCCAGGTAGACCAGATCCTTGGAGGATGCAGCCGCTAAAATCAAAGACACCTAAAATTTCCCTCATTTCAGTTTTAAAAAACGTTTACTTTTTTCAGTAAACCTGCCTTGTTTAAAACAGACCCCAGGGTGAGATGAAGGGGCATAAACAGACGTACCGTATGCTCAATCTGCTGGCAGTACCATGGAAATAACAGACAGAAAGTCAGATGGCGACAATTAACATGACTGCTTAACAGAGCCTGGGCGTCCTGCAATGCCTTGCAGTTATGTAACGGCTCAGCATGGTTAATGAGCAACCAATAATAAATTAATCAATAATCTGGTCTCAATGCAAATCTAAGTTACAGGCCATCTTCACCAAAGCCTCCAACCAAATTTTCAGCTCCTAACAAACGCCAACAGGGACACAGCTTCAAGCTAAGAAAATTTTCAATTAAATAAATAAAAAATTCACCTGTATAAAAACTTTTCATTGGAATGATTTAGCACTTTAAAATGCTATTTACCTTGTAAAAGCAAGCCTCTGCAGCTTTAGTTCCCTCTTTAGTGAACTCGAACACCTCTGCAAGAAGGTGCTAATTAGCTTAGCCCATTACATCCTTGTTAACCCCTTCACACATCTGCAGTATTGTACCTCCATTGGTATTTTGAATACACTCAAAGGGTATTTCTACTTACAAACAAAAATTATACGCCAGCAGGACACGGTAATCTTTCAGAAAACAGTAGTACAGTATGCAACCACGGTCAGCTACTGCGGCATGAATTTTAAAATGTCAAACAAGGTGACCACGCCACTTTAAGTTTGAATGAGTCTCCATGAGTATATGGAAACAATATATATCACTGCATAGGAGCGCTGTAACAAAATTTCCTCAGAGGCTGTAATAAACGTATATACTTGCATTGCAAAGAATCTTGACTGGCATTAAACTTTATGGGGAAAAAAAAACACATCATATGTCATCCAAAACTTTGGTTAAAATTTGACTTTATGCGTTATGATTGAAAGATCAACCATGCATTTAAAATTTGGCTGGCTTGAAGTTGAAAGTGATGCCTTTGATCTTACATACAAATATATTTGGTCATCAATTGGCTCAGCATATCTTCTATAATTTCTTTGCTCATTCAGTTAATACTTTGCTAACCTGTTATTAACCTGGCAGCAGATTACCCTAATCCAACATAGTCACGTCCATTACTCTTTAAATATATAAGTCCATGTCTAAATCCAGGGCTTCCTTGAATTCCATTTGTAGTCACTTGTATTTACTTATTACATTTGAGCCAACAGGGATATTTTGATGAGATCAGTTGATCACCTGTTCTGTGAACCCATGGATGAATGTATATGAGTTCATGAACACTGGATAAATGTGACGCCAGTGTGAGACGCTTCGAGTTTTTGATATGACTGATTTGTATGAAAATTCTGTGTAGTTACACTCAGTCCATTAAAAGACTCTTTGTGTTGAATAAACCCAGTTATGTTGCTTTGGCCTTTTAAAGCTTTAAAACTATGTATCACAGATTATAAATGGGACTTTTCCTGTGTTTACTTTGCATTATGTGCCAGACTGGTCAAATAAAAGATATCGTAAACATACTGGATTCTTTTAACAAGAGTTTTTTCTTTTCATTTTACCAGAGACTTTAGACCTAACACTTACAATGGGACTTGTATCTCAGCCAGCCTGTCTATATGGTTCATTCCTCAGTTCTCCTTAATTCATTTGAATTAATGACTACCATTTGTCCTCCTTAACTGGTAACTTGTAACTGGCCACAGTCTTTAAACTGCTCAAAGAAACTCACAGACAGACACAGGCACAAACAGAGCTTTAAACTCACAACAGGTGGCTAAAGAGTTTGTATCACAAACACGTTATTGCGAATTAAGTGTGCTTCCTTTTCCATTTCAATTAAAAGTTTCATTAAAAAAAAGAATCAAAATAACAACATGCAAATGAACACATACAAATAAAAGGAATCATAGAAAACATTTTTTAGGCCTCTGCATGAGCTCTGCATTACCCACACACCAGTCCTACATTCTGAAATCATAGACAACACACATCAAGCACCAGAAGTTTTACAGTTTTCACACTGGCTTCACAGTCAGGGTTTCAAAAGAGTTCAGACTGAATGCAGATCAGATACAGGCTTGCAATGGATGCTAACCCAAAACTGTTATCTTTCAAATACAGTCTGATCTGATCAAAAAAAAAAAAGAAAAAAACCCTTCTATCCAGGCGTTGTAACCATGCACTAAAAACCTCCAGTGTCAATCTCCAAAACGCACCATTAAACTGTAGGAACCCCATGCATGGAGAGAAGAAAGGGTGAGGTCATCGGTGGTCTGAGTTCCTGACCGGATGCTCCTTATTTACCATTGAGATGAGTCTTTTTTATCTTTGTGTGGTTCAAAAATCAGTTTTAATTCTGTACAATTCCTGCCCCTGTTGAAAGGGACATCCAGACAAACACCAGAGGAGAGTTCAGCATCTCTGCAGCTCTGCCGCACACAAAGGAAGGCAGAGAGAAGAAAATAAAATTTTGGTTAAATGTACATTTCACAGTTGGGGAAACACTGAAGACGGACTGCTCCATGGTTCTCCACTGCCTTGTCCTCTCTCGAGCACGTCGCCATCGTATTAATTCTTACTCACTACTTGACAGAGTCACAGCTGAAGATCATTAGGGCTCATCTGAGGGCCCTTATGAGGGTTCCTGTGGATTAGTTCGCCTCAGAAGTGCCCTTGGCGGGCTGAAGTGTGTGTCTTGCTGGCAAACTTATTGCCGAATGATGAATTCCTCTGCTGAGACGAAGGAGGGGGAGGCAGAAGTTAGGGTCAAGCACAAAAGGGAATAACAGGAACAAAAGAGGACGGAGTACGGCTTGCCGCTGGAGAGACGTTCAAGAGCAGGAGCAGCGCTGTGGCTAATCTGCACGCTCCAAAGGTCACAGGGACAGATTGAGGAGAGAGCGCCAACAAGTAGATCAGTGGAACGGGGAGAGGTGGAGGTGCTGAAGAACACGGGAGGAATGACGGCGGTTTGGGAGAGGGCGACGGGCAGATTAAGTGAGGGTGATGTAGGCTGAGGCCTTCTCCTTTAGTTGTCTCAAGCACAGATGACAGCTCCAGCTCCCTGTAAGACACAAAGATCAGGAACATCACAGATCTGAAGTTCAATCACTGCTATCATAAAGCCTGCTGGATTAATCTGTAGTTTCACACAGAGAGCTGAGCAGCGCTGTAAATTAAAGCTCGGTGAAGAAACACCACATGCTGTGTCCGTAGTTTGTAGATGCAGGGGATTTCACAAGTAGCTTGGTCTGCAGCCTGCCTCTAGATCTTGTGACATTTATTCATCACCTGGCATCCCAGGCGAAGATGTTGAGAGCAGTAAGCACAGCGGGGATGGTACAGCGTACACCATGTAGAGTAAGTTTACTATCCCTGAGTGTTCACCTCAAAGGAGAGGCTGGCTTTCAGGACACATTGCTGGTAAATCAAAAGTGTGTGGTTGTGTGTGGGCTGAGCTTGACACTGTTACCAAGCGTTAAACACAAGTGGAACCGCTACTGTGTCTTCAGCCACTTTTACCATGGAAACAAGTTATCTTTCCACAACTGATTTCCATGACAACACCATCAAACATCCTGAGGCAGCCATCTTATATGAAAAAATGACAGCTAGATTTAAATAGATGTTCCTGCACAATTAATGGGATCGTAAAGGCAGTGCCAACTCTCTCTCTCTCTCTTGCAGATTACAATGTTCCAGCAAAGACTTATAGCCTCTTTTCACTGCATATGAAGTCTGAGACAAAAACTAAAAACATGTATATATATATATATATATATATATATAAATAAATATGTCCTGAGAGTAAAGAAAAGATAAGGTGCCTACACTGATGCTCAGATATTCCCAGATGGTGGTTCTGGTCGGTGTAGTGTGACCACACCCAGGCGCCCCTGAACTTCTCGAAGCATTAACACACAACTACAAGTTAGTATTAATGAACCAACTGTTAGTACGTACCCTCTGGTGGTTCAGACATGGGAGGGCTCAGACAGTACATATGGTAGCCTCTGTCACAATCGTCACAGAACAGCAGCTGGTCCTGCAACACAAACGAAAAACAGACTTCAACAATAGTGAACAAGATGAACGACTCTGAACATACAACTATGGATTCAGAAACAAACAGATTTATTGCAGCAGGGTTTATTTGGGAATTGCACATTGTAGCAAACATTGGTAAAAGATATGAGTTGAAAATTACTGTGTTTGCATGTTAATGCCCTTCTTTTTTATGTTTTTTATATCTTCAATAAATGCCTTGGTGAGTGGATTGGGATTAAATGCGGGAGCAGCACCCTCAGCAGTGACAGACGTTGACAAATTTGTTATCCTATGAGAGTTTTAAGACAATAACTAGTAACATTTTAAAAAAGTGTTTCAGTGAAACGAAAATAATGGATACCTGAAGTCAGAAGTATGTGGCAGAAATAATATAGTTTTAACTGTGAATGGCAGGTAATTTAGGATTTATTTTACAAATATATAATAATGCTAAGGTTCACCAGGAACAGGGATGACCAAAGCCTTGAGAGGAGTGTTAAGCTATTCCATCAAAGAGTTTACTTGAATATTAAAAGGAGAGGAGTGAGGCTTGAGTGCTGCCCGTGTCCTCACTAAGACTAAGAAAGTAGAGCACATCACCCCCCAGTTCTAAAGTCCTTACACTGGCTCCCTGTGTCTCAGAGAATAGACTTTAAAATACTTCTGTTAGTCTATAAATCTCTGAATGGCTTAGCACCTAAATACATCACAGACTTGCTATCAGTGTATCAACCCTCCAGACCACTCAGGTCTTCTGGCTCCAGCCTGCTCTGCATACCTAGAACCAGAACTAAACATGGAGAAGCAGCATTTAGCTCCTATGCTCCACTTATCTGCAACAAACTTCCAGAAAACTGTAAAAGTGCGGAAAGCCTGAGTTCCTTTAAATCAAGACTAAAAACACATTTGTTTAGGATTGCCTTCGACTGTTCTAGTTAAACAGTTCAACTAAAACATCATTAGTTTAACTTTTTTATTTTCTTTAGTCTACCTTTTGTTAATATTCTTTTTTGTTTTTTGCATTTTTTATTTTATTTTTTTTCCTACCTGCTTTGATTCTGTTTTATTTTCCTGTATTTTAATCATGTAAAGCACTTTGCATTGTCTTTGTACTGAATTGTGCTATACCAATAAATTTGCCTTGCCTTGGAGTCAACCCATAAAGAGTCCTACATATCAGCTACAAGTGGCTCATTCCTCCTGTCAGGGCACTTCAGAACCAGGAAACACAAATTCAGACTGTTGATCAGTGATCCAAACCTCTCTTTTCAGAAGAAGCTTGTTTTTCATTTGGAAATCAAGGTTCAAGAATCTATAAGGAGAATAAAGGAAAACAGAGTGCGTTGCTAGAACTCCAGTTTGAAGATTCAACCATTACAATTCATTTGGGTTGCCATCTCATCTACTGGTGTTAGTTCACTAGGTTTTCTGGAGACCACAGTCAATGCATCCATCTACCAGGAAATCATAGAGCACTTTATGCTTCCTACCACTGACAAGATTTAAGAAGACAAAGGTTCCCAAAGCTGGGTGAATGACCATACGTAGTGCTGCTGGGCTTGATGGATCAGCAAAAGAGCTTTCATCTTCACCCCCAATATGTGAAGAGGAAGATGAAAGACAGCAATCCCAACAAGACAGATATGTCAAAGCAACACCGTAGCAGATCGCCCTCCATGCTACACAGCATTGATGCAGTAACAAAGGCATCAGTCATGGGAACAATGAGCTGGATAAACGTTCAATTTTCAGAGGTAATTTGAAAAAATGATTGATGGCAACATTGAATACTGTTAAACTGTAAAATATACAATAACATTTAAAATAATTTAAAAGAGGTAGCTTTATTATTTAAAAAGGATTACAGCTTATTTTGTTGCAATATTGTTCAGTTCAGTGGACGTTTTCTTTGTTCGACTGACAAAAATGTTTGTTTGGAGGGGCATGAAGAACTTCCTTTAAATTAAAGGGGGATCTAACAATAAAAAAATGGGAACTACCCTGCTCTATAAATAAACCCCCCTTGCCTAATTTCCAATACACTGAAATGTGGGGTTTTCATTATCTGTAAGCTTTAATCATTACCTTTAAAAGCTAGAAATATTCTAATCCAAATAATTTATGTGTTTTGGTGCTGAAAATAGTGACAAAAATCAGGACTGTTTCACAATAATCAAATACTACTAGATGATTAATTGGCTAAAAATAATTACACAGACTGATTGGCGCCCCCTTCATCATTTAGTTTTATAATAGTCTTGTTTAAATCTTTTAATCTTCTCTTTCCACATTCAGTCTTTTAAGAGATAACAACCTAGCTACCCTAATTCAATTAAATTCAGTTTATTTATATAGCACCAATTCACATGACATGATATCTAAAGGCAGTTTACAGCTCACCAGATCATACAATCAATTGATTCAAAGTTTTCTATCTAAGGAAAACCAGTTGATTGCATCGACTCATTGACTTGAAGGCAATCTCTGACACTAAGCATGCTTGTAGATACAGTGGAGAGGAAAAACTCCCTTTTAACAGGAAGAAACCTCCAGCAGAACAAGACTCAGTGTGAGCGGCCATCTGCCGAGGCCGACTGGGGATCAAGCCGTAACACCAGATTATGCTACGGAAAACTGGCTCGCCTCGGCCCTTCACTCATAAGGCTGCAATCTTCTTTAACATAGGAGACAGGCTCACTGAGTTTCCTGTGGTTTTAGCTTAGGCTCAGCTGAGCCCACAGTCCCAATCTGGGCTATAATGGGCATAATAGGAGACTCAAGAGGGGCCCATTAATGAGGGAAAATCACCCGAAAGCCTGACAGGATAAGGCTAAAATCTGAGCTGATAGCCTCCAAAGTTTGGAGGAGAATATAATTTAAATAGAAGAATATCACATAAGTTTTAATTTTACTAAGGGAAAAAATAACATTTAAAGAATAGACAGGAGCACCATAGCTATTGTGAAACATGGAGTGGAAATTATTTCTTGCAGCTGTAAAATAGTTTGGAGCAAAGTCTTCATAAAACCAAGGGATCCTGTTTATGTCAAATGGTTCAGCCTCTCCTCTTCCATTGGTCATGGAGCTTTTAACACGGTTATAACTCACTTAAAAACACTTAATAATGACAAAAACAAAACAAAAAAACTCTGGACTCTATGCACCCATGATCATTAATGGACCTAGTTCTTAATATTTTAAACATCTATGGAAAAGTCTGAAAATTACTCAAAACTTGATTCCAAAGACAGCCTGAGAAGTTTGACCTACAAGAGAGGAACAAACTACATGATATTAATAGCAGAAATTTCATTGAGACCTGCAGATCAGAGTCAGCACCATGAAGTAATTTAAGGTTACCATTTGCTTTAGTCCATGACATTTACATTTGTCTTCTTTAATAAAAAATAAATAAAAATACTGGATTAATAAACAAAAAGCTACATGATTTTCTTTAGAAATTGGATTGGATAAATCTTAAGGGATGCAATTAAGCTACTCAGAGTATCCAGTTATTTTGGAAATGTTTTTTTGGCTTTCTGTGCTAACTTGTTTTAGAAAACACCAAGAAATTTGTCCACGTCTGTACTGCTGCATGAGTCAAAAGATAATAAGATGTTCAATATTAGACACTACTAAGGGTGCATCTCGATAAATTAGAAAATATATCAATATATCTCATAAAGAGAATCATATCATATTTAAGTTTTAATTAAGAATAAGGAAAGAAAGTCCTAAATTCAGCTTCAGAATATCAACTGCAACCAATAAAAGAAGCTTTCTGCTGCAGAAGTGATTGGTCTAATACAAACATGGGAAGACTGCTACCTTGACAGCTGTTAAGCTAAAGATGCAGGCTTTTCGCAGATTGATGTGTCCTTAGAAATTTAGGATCATGAGAAAGTTAAATAAAATCAAAAAATTGCACAAGCAACAGAAATGCTGTGTCCTTGAGAAGATTGTAAAGTAGATTGTTTGAGAGTTAAGGAAGATTCCCATTATATGGACTGCAGTGGGACTTCAGCACTTACTACACATCTATACCCTGAACATGGGCTACTGCGGTCCTTGTTTAAAGTCCTGTTTTGGACGGAGGTAAATTTTAAATTTTTATTTAAAAATCAAAGTCTCAGAGAAGAGTTATGAGAGAGAATTCATGTTTATGAGGACTTGAGTGAAGCTCCCGCAGTCAATCATGAATTGGAGAACCATGTGGTGTCGGTCCATTTGGGTTTATCAAAGTCCAAATTTTGAAACACCTTAATTCTCCTTTTGCTGACGAGCTTTAGAGAGATGCTGGTTTTATTTTCTTGCAGCACTTGTTAATTGCCTCAACCTACAAAAACAGCTGCTTTGGTGATCATGGTATCACTAAGCTTGATTGGAGCAAACTGACCTGCCCTGAACTCTACACGGAAAATTTGGAGAACCCTCAGGAGGTAGAGGAGAGATGGTTAAGCTAACAAATGACTTAAAGGCAAGAAAGAAACCAAGACTCTCCTCACCTGAGCCACAAGCTAAGGTGGCTGCAGCTCTGGATCAATACAACAACCAATTAAAAGGAGCACCAACAAAGAACTGGGAGCGTACACTTAATCCTTTCTCATTGATTTTAGGTAATATTATAACTTTTCAATAAATCAAATGTAGGTTGACTTTAGGCTGAAAGCACTATGATAAAAAAGGGAAATAAATGCTTGAAATATATCCCTCAACATGTAATGAATCTTCACTTTTTGATAAAAAATATAAAAAACGTCAAACATTTAAATTTATCGAGATGCACCTGCGCATTGATTGGGTGTGTGTGTGTGTGCGTGTGTATATGTGCATGTGTGCAGCCACGTATGTTTGGAGTAAACATGTAGCATGGTGCAGGGATCCTACGTCATTCTCAGAGGTGCCACACAGGCTGCAGGACTTGCACTCGATGCACTGCCAGCGATATGTCCTCACCGCAGCCGTCATGTTCACTGTGAACTGCAGACAGGACGGGTGGCCTGGGCGCACACACACACACACACCCACACACAAACACAACACATGTACACAAGCAGATGGCCACACAGTATTTTCTGTCATTTCTTCTGTGTTTTGAGGACAGTAATTCACAATCTATATTATTGATCCGTGTAAAAGCTTGTTTGTGTCATGCTTGGGAAAGTACGTACAATGTGTTTGGCTATGGATAAGATATGTGTGATAACGGGATGGGCAGCATTTAAGTTAGAAGAAATACATCCAGAAAATTACAGAATCATTTAAGTCAGCAGAAGTAATTAAAGGAGAAGTTCGGTTTTTAACACTTTTAGCCCATTTTCTATAGTGTCCAGGATGAAATCGAATGATCGACACCAAAATTTTGACAATTGGTCCTGTCTCTGGTTTTTGGCTCATTTAGAATCCACCCCTGGCTGCTTTAGAATGGCTTCCATAGAGCATGTCTGATAATGTCCTTAAAACAACCTTAAACGTTCTTTTTTTTAAATATGCTACTCACCGGGTCGTCAGCGCTGTTCAATGACGTTCCAAAAAAAGTTTCGTGAAGAAAAAACGTTCCTGTAGTGTTTTATTTAGCATTTTGTAAATCCCATTGAGTTCTGTTGGAATAGTCAATATTCCCCTGCCACCGGAAACGGAAATGGGGCCTGTTTACACAGTTGTAGTCTTTTCGCTTCACTCTGTGTACTCTGACGTCGAGGTGCTAACGTCTCTGTTAAACACTTTAAAAAACTCTGAAAATGGAATACGAAAGGTGGATTCTTGATTCTCGACGTCGGAGTACACAGAGTGAAGCGAAAAGACTACAACTGTGTAAACAGGCCCCATTTCCGTTTCCGGTGGCAGGGGAATATTGACTATTCCTACAGAACTCAATGGGATTTACAAAATGCTAAATAAAACACTACAGCAGTGGCGGCCGGCCCATAGGGGGCGCTGGGGCACCGCCCTCCCTGATAAGAAGAGAGAAACGTAAAATATATTTTTAGAAATTAACTCATAAATGTCAGTTTTACTCTCTAGACTGTGAACCTATAAGCAAAACAAATTATATAAACTACATTTCCCTACCTACTGTCATTCATTTGTGGATTTCCACAGACAGACTCCTACCGTCTCTGTTCTGGGGGCGCTGATCAGACTGACCCACATTTGCAGAGAATCTGTCAATCATGTACTATTGCTAGGTGAATTTAATGGCCAATCAGCGTCTCGGAACTTTATGGTATTGGGGCGCTGAAAATACTGCGCTTTAACAGGCTTCTGAACCCAAGCGCAGGTGCAGACAATGAGAGGGAAGATGGCGAATGTAACGACCGAGATGCAGCTTCCACCAAATTCGGTGAGATCCTTATTTATCTACCCGTTTGCCAGAAGAACATCCCTGTTGTAGGATATGAACATTTCCTGTCATGGTTATTGTGACTTTGACGAATCCACCTCGTCACTTAAAACAACCTCTCTAACTTTGCGCGCCACACACACATTCCTGTTATACTGTGCTTGTGAGGACCAATACACTCGCGCTGAGCCCAGTAGCTCCATGAACTTAAAACACACAAGCTGTTCCTGGTTACCTGCTGGCGTATTGAGGGTGCACACTTAATTTTTCAGTGGGGTTAGCCGTGTGTGTGTGTGTGTGTGGGTGTGTGGGGGGTGTGTGTGTGGGTGAGTGTGTGTGGGTGTGTACGTGTTTATGCTACGGGGACTTGTCATCTTCAGTCTGGCTGCGTCTTTGCTGGGTTCAAACCCAGTTTGGTGTAATTGAATAAGTCAATGAATCTGTGTAAAGGAATTAAGTTGTAAAAATTATTTGTTTTTGTACATCAATTGTTTGTGGAGGTAATATGTGGACAAAACTGATTTATGAGAAGAAATCAGAAATAAGAGAGCCTGAGGGTAGGGGCTTAAACTATTTAATGAGGGGGAAGAAAAGCGGCAATTTTTGTTTTCTGTTTCTTTGTTACATTGCTGGTAACTGGAGGGAGGCTGAGGCCCAGAGTATCTTGTACATGTTTAGTTTCTTTTGCACCCTGTTTTAAGTTTTTGAGCACAATAAATCACCAACACCGGTAACCCGACTGAGCCTGGATTCTTGGACGCCAAAGAACCCCGTCACAGTGACCCAAATCATCACTGTTACTGTTATTATATAGTAAATGAAATCATTACTGTTAAATTGTTTGTATTGTCCAATTGTTTATTTGAATTCTTATTCCGGATTAGTTGGAGACATACACTAGGCTATATCAGCCCCACCAAAAATATTTTTCACCAGCCTACACTGCACTACAGGAACGTTTTTTCTTTACGAAACTTTTTTTGGAACGTCATTGAACAGCGCTGACGACCCGGTGAGTAGCATATTTAAAAAAAAAGAACGTTTAAGGTTGTTGTAAGGACATTATCGGACGTGCACAATGGAAGCCATTCTGAAGCAGCCAGGGGTGGATTCTAAATGAGCCAAAAAGCAGAGACAGGACCAATTGTCAAAATTTTGGTGTCGATCATTCGATTTCATCCTGGACACTACAGAAAATGGGCTAAAAGTGTTAAAAACCGAACTTCTCCTTTAAACCATTTTATTATTATTTAAATGTTAAACTACCTTTTCCTTTTATAGTAAATGTAAGAAAAATTATAATATTGTGAAAATTTTCAATAATTTGTTATATTGTATAAATTAATTACATATTTGCTGAACTATTTCAAGGATTTATGTACTGTAAATTAGATATCTGTGACTTACAGATAACAAATACCCAACCTTTAATTGTCTTGTTTTAGGAGTAATACTACTAATTCCATTGGCAAATCATCTTATTTATGTACTCAAATTAAGGGCAAGTACACTCAATTTGAGAATTATTTTACTTAATTCTATATGGTTTTTGCAGTGTAGACCCTAATCAGCTAATGAAGTCAAAACTCCTGGAAAAGTTTCATGAACCTCATAATGGTGTCTCACTGTGGTAGAAGCTGGTTGTTCTCAAAGAGCTGCATCTCGGTACATTCAAAAAAAAGTTTAGTGGAAGTAAAAAGTACTCAGGTAAAAGTTGCACCAACACAATTTTATGGGGATTGTTTGGAAAAAAAATCTATCCAAGAATTTTGGGGAGCTTCACATGACTAAATCTGGAGTCCCTAAGCAAGGATAAATCCTAAATATGGGCTGAAAACTGGACTTCCTTCTGACTACCAGACACACTATAGAAAAAGAAAAGTAAAGTCAAATAGTAGTTTAAATGCCTCCTTTTAAAAGAAACGTGCATTTCGTTTGGAAATCAAGGCCCCACACTGGAAAAACAATCTACAAATAAGTAAAAATGTCTTAAATTACGTGTATTTACCCTTACTTTGAGTAGGTAAATTAGATAGTTTGCCAATGGAATGAATATTCTTACTCTTAAAATAAGATAATTAGATAATATGCACTTGGAATAAGACAATGCAATTGTGTTTTCTTATTTTATGTGTAAATTGTCTTGTTCCATTGGCAACATGTCTCTTTTACCTCCTAAATCCAAGAAAAAATCACTTGTTTTAAGAAAAAATGACTTGTCTAGATTTTGATTTTTTTCCAGTGCAGAGTTGAGGGAGTCCATGTCTCATGCTGGTGTTGGTGTTGGTCCAATGAGCTTTTTGGAGTCCATAGTCTGCAAACCTATATATCAGAGATGATTGTATCTCTTCATGTTTCTGTTGCTGAAAAGCTGAATGGAGATGCTTATTTTATATTCCAGCAGGACTGCATTGGGATGCAAATTGGCCAGACCCGAACCCCTTAAGAGTCTATGAGTTGTTGTCAGGAGGAGAATAAATGACACCAGGCCCAACAGGGCAGATACCCTGAAGGCAGCTTTTAAAGCAGCCTGGGCCTCTATTCCACCTTAGCTGTTGCTGTTCAGGATAGTTGATTATCTGTAAGCCATAATGATCAAATCTAAATAAAAAGAACAGTTATACTTTCTAAACTTTGTGACATAACATTGAAATTTTCACAATATTTTAATCTGTTTTGAATGTATCTGTTTTTGTTGTTTTTTGGTAACTACAATAAACAGACGTGGACAAATTAGTCGGCACCCCTGGGAAACAGATGCAAAAACACTTTAAAACCAATTCATCTTTCACAGAAGAAAAAAACTGCAGCTTTAAATATCAGCGCTTTCACTGAGAGGAAAAGATAAACCAAACCTAAGAATGAATATGGTTTTGACCAAATAACACAGCACATCTATTGGCAACCCTAAAAATGCCTTTCAAATAAATTAAGCTTCATTATTTTTCTATTCATACTGTATTATTTTATATTCAACAGAGTTTTTGGAAATTCTCATTAGTTTCTCTAAAATGTGACCCAAAAACAGAAATTTTTTAATAAAAGATATGCATGTTGTTTATTTCTTTTTTTCTTATTGAAGGCAACTTAAAATTAAGAAAACAAATGGCTTGTTTAATTGAGGTATTTGCAACAGATATTACCAAAAGTCAAAGTTTTAAATGGTAAATTTAGTAGATGTGCATCAGAGCTCTTTTCTTATATGAGAACATCTCTTAGGTGCCCCATGCAGCCATGTAGCTTCTTTCTCATTATACCAGGTGTGTATTTCCATTCTCAGATTTAACTAAGCCTAAAAACACACCCAGGGGTGAGTCTGCATCTGGGATGTTGTTCAGTTCCAGGAAAACAGAGCTGATGTACACTTTGGAAAATTCCCAAATGCACATTTTATAAACCCACCGCTTCAGCCTCGGTTGACCTCTGCCATTTGGTTTTTGCAAATATCAGACTTTACGATCTTGGCATATTCCTCAGTTTCATCAGTGCTAAAACAATCTGACCTAAAACATCAGAGAAAATTGTATTTTTTAACTGAGTGAATTTATATTGATATGTAAAATGAATATAAACATTTTCTTTATTTCAAAGATTTTAACCCCTTTACTACAATCCTCCTAATTTGCCATCATGGAACTGGGACTTAAACTGAAACCC